TGGTTTGTTATGATAGGACGAGATACAACTATTTGAAAATCTGGGAATCTGAGGGTGCAAAAAAATTTAAATATTGAGAAAATCATCTTTAAAGTTGTCCAAATGAAGTTCTTAGCACTGCATATTACTAATCAAACATTAAGTTTTAATATATTTACGATAGGAAATGTACAAAATATCTTCATGGAACATGATCTTAATATCCTAATGATTTTTGGCATAAAAGAAAAATCAATAATTTTGACCCATACAATGTATTGTTGGCTATTGCTACAAATATACCCCAGCGACTTGAGACTGCTTTTGTGCTCCAGGGTCACATATGAAATATAAAATTACTAATAATTATATAATTTAATAATAGAAAATGTATAACAATGAAAAATATAATTATTAATTAGTATTACACCGTATTAGTCTTTGTTAATGTTGTTACAAAAAACAAAGTTATTCGTTTGTATTAGTTCATAATGCAATAGAAAATATTAACATACAAATTTCGATTTAAATATATATTAATAAATGCTGCTAATTTGTAAATTAACACAATCTTTAGTTATTGTAAAACATTGCCTAAAATTTTAATGTTTATGTTCTTAAAAGAAATGCATTAAACTGCAACTTATTTAAAGATGACTGTATTTGTTGTTTTATAAATATATATATATATATATATATATGTTGTTTTAATGTTTTATAAAAATGTAATCAATATAATCATAATTTAATCTTTTTTATTTTTATTAGTTATTTTCATAATATGTTTTATATTAATATAGCTACTTATATCTTTTTTTTATTTTAATATTTTAACTCTAAACTGTTAGCAGATATTTTAATGTTAATTACCGCAACTCCGAATAAATCAGATAGGCAGGTGCATATAAATAAACAAAGAAAAGCAAATAATCTGTCAAAAAATGCAATGTTTGTGCTCTTAAACCTACGCTTTTATCAGTCAATTTACAGATTGTTGGCTTTGTGAGGTCAGCTGGAGCGCCGTGGAGCCGTTGAGGTGTGTTTACCTGGCTGTTAATGGCCTCCAGCAGGCGCTTGGTCCCGCGTTTGATGTCCTTCACCAGGCTGGAGGTCAGGTTTTCATTCTCGATCAAGCTCCAGTTCTCTTCATACCAGCTCAGGATGCTGTAAATGCGGCTCAGACACAGATCCTGAAACATTCGTGAGGTATGAGCGTTTAGCAACACTTCAGTATTTGACGAAATCAAATGAAAACGTTCATCGCATCATGTGCTGGATAAAAGATCTTGTTCAGCGCTAAACTGCGTTACGTTTGTGTAACAACCCGATATCAAACGTACAGTATCTTATTTTATGAGATGAAGGGTTTGTATGAATTGGTTCGATGTGATTCGTAAGGAACTGTCGTTAGCGGGGCGTCAGCATGAAAAAATACTATAGTGTTTTTGAACCATACTATAGTAAAGTACTTGTGGTAATTCTGTAGTTGCTGTGGTAACATAACTAGGGCTGTCAAAAAAAATTCGAATTTCGAATATTCGTCGAATTTCAAATAAAAATCCACATTCGAATGCAAAAACGTTGCATTCTAATTTTAGGTGTGCGTCAGGATGCTTTATCAGTGGCGCACGAGACGCGATGACGATGTAAGTTTCGTTGCATTTTAATGCTTTTCATAGCTTATCCAGTTGACGCTATTCAATGCGGCGCTGCTGCTGCGTTGTTAATTACAAATATTGCGGGAAAATAGAACATCAATGCGGAGATGTTGTTGTTTACATCAAAACCGAAACCAAGCCGTTCACACAGAACGCATATTTATCGCATTTTCTAGAGGGACATCTATCAGCGTTGCACTCGCGTCTCGCACAAAAGAGCCGCATGTTTAGAAAGCCATGTAAAATTAATGCAAGTTATGTAAAATGAATGCAACTCGTGTTTTTAAATGAAAAATGTACTCTGTGTGATTGGCTTTCGGCCCTTTGTATTAAACTATGCATACATGCATGATGCTGTTTTGTTTCTAATTGTTTAAGCAACTTAATTATAATTGGTTTATAAACATGTACTCTTTTTTCACAGATAGTCATGTTATCTTATGCTTTGAATTAACGTGCATTAGTAATATTTTGCTCGATGCGCCCTCTTGTGGCCTCAGGAGAGAAGCCAAAAGCTTTTTTTCTCCCTAACTGAAATTATGCCTTTTAAATTCGAATATAATTCGAATTTTGATAATATTTAAGTAAAAAATTTGAATTTAGTATTTTTTTGCCATTTTGAAAGCCCTAATAACAACTATAGTAATATAAACAAATTACTGTACTAAGTTTTAGGGTATATTATACTACAATACAGTTTACTGTAGTAAAAACTAAAGTATACCACAGAATTTATTGCAGTTTATCAGTTCTCTAGTTAATACTACAGTATGCTGTAGCGTTCATTACACACTTTACTATAGTATGGTTCAAAAACACTATAGTATTTACTATAAATTAGTTTGTGGGCAGATCGTACGAATGAGATTGTACACATTCATACAAATAAACAGTTTTATTTTGTGGTTTATTAACGTAAAGCTGCTTTGAATCAATCTATATTGTATTAAGCGCGATATAAATGAAAACGATTCGACAAATTAGCCACCAATTTGCCAAAACTTAAAATAGTTATGAATTGGCATGAAAGCGTGTCGAAGGCTAATGACTTTTTTTCTTTTTTCTTTTTTTTTTTTGGAGGGAAAGTTAAAGTATTCGCTAATACAGCAGGTTAACTTAGAATAGCACTAAATCGATTGTTTATGGATTAAAATTGATTGTTAATGACCTAATAAAGCTTCTCAAATCATGAAAATCTATTCTGGAAAAGATGTATTTCACTACTTATTTACAAATATAAACGTTTTGGAAAAACTCTTTTCTATTAAAATGCTTTGCTTGATTGTATAATAATAAAAAAAAAAAAATTACAAATGCAGTAAAGTTTGCATAGAGTAGCAGCCAAACATTTGGACACATCTACTCATTTATTTTAATAATGCAGTTATGTTTATTATTATTATTACATTTATTATATTGATTGATCGATTGATTATTACAGTAATAATAATAGTTATCTGAACTATGATGAGTATGGAAATTATATAGTGACTAAAAAAGACATTCTGGCAAATGTGAATTTTCAATCTTACTCAAAATTCAGAAAAATGTTTTTACAGTATTAAAGAAAAATAATTAAATAACACCCTAAGTTCTCATTTGTTAATGCATTAGTTAACATGAACTAAACATTTTCAAAATATAGTAATATAAATAAAAAACACAAAAATAAACTAATAATAGAATGTAATAATAGAAATATGAAAAATATATAAAATATAATGAAATAATAATGTAATTTAACATAAATATAAATAACAATAAAATATAGTTTATAATGTATTTTTACATCATTAACCTTTGTTGATGTTTATAAAATGTTAACAAAAAAAAATTTGTTTGTAAATTTTCAAAATATAATAATATAAATAAAAAACATATAAATAAAATAAACTAATAATATAATGTAGTAATAGAAATATCAAAAATATAAAAATATATGATAAAATAGAAATAATGTAATTTAACATAAATTTAAAATATATAAATAACAATAAAAATATAGTTTATAATGTATTTTTACATCATTAACCTTGGTTGATTATAAAATGTTAACAATTTTTTTTTGTAAATTTTCAAAATATGATCATGTAAATAAAATAAACTA